AATAATTTGAAACTGTAAAGCACTAATAGCACTTGTCTCACACCTTTTTTCACACAAATCTGTTTACAGGAGGCATCAGGACTGCATTGGAAGAGAAGATTCTACATTCATGATTTAAAAAAAAAAAATTAAACACATTTTTTACTACCATTAGCATATAATTCATGTGCATTTAAAGATATCTTAAATTAAATAAGGCAATAGATAACTCCATGAATTAATAGTTGTCTTTTGCGTAATTATATGTTATTATCCAGGCGGTGGGTAGCATGGTCTTAGCCATGCGTAAACCCTGGTCAATTATTATTTCCCTGTATGTACAAGATGTAATAACGTTAAGTACGATGGTGTGGTAAGACCAGGCTAGGCTTGGGGGGTGTGGGGGGATATCAGTCATGAAGGACCTTATATTGAGATGTTATTTCTTTATTTTAAGTTACAATATACACTAACTGAAAAAAATACACTATATAGATAATGAGGTTAACATTTGGCCAAAAATTCTTTTAGACTAATCTTTCAACAAATGCATTGAATTCCACCAACAACTTGTGTGTCTCTAAACGGCAAACCAAGAATCTAACTTGTGCTGTCAAAGTTATTTCCAGCCCACTTCTTGTACTAACAATGAATTTTAGGCCCCTACTTTAGAGACTCATCAAATATTGATGGGAATATTTTACATACTTATGAGCTGCTGCAGTCGTTCGGAGCATTAGCAAAGTTTGAAGTAAATTATATTGGCTGTCTTTATGAATGATTTCCCTGCTGCTGCCTTACTGTCTCCATATTCCCCTGTGCTTCTTTATCTGCTGAAGCTAATTGCATTGGTTGTCAGGGTGTGCACACTTTGAATATTTTTTAATCTACTGCAAGTAAATTTTAGGCTTGAGCGTACTAAGGGTACTTTTTTGTTTTGACTGTCAACACATACAGACAGGCACATACGGCAACACACACACACACACACACACAAGCACGTACATACACGCAGTAATAACAATTGTTAAAGCTGGAATACCCAACTGACAAAAAAGTTGTTTCTTACATGCATATACCTTTTTGGATTCTGTCACATCTTTAAAAGGGAAAAAGAGAGGAATACCCCCAGCTCTAAGAAAGAAAGAAATGATTTTCTAATGAGATGAAGACAACAGGGTGAGGTCCTATTGCAGATGTATTTACTACATTTTTTTTTTTTTTATACAAGACTCTTTCTGGTCAAAAAAATCCTTGGTGTCTTATATTTCCGACAATGGTGTTATTCTGTTTACGTCTAACATGGATGTCACTACCCGCTCTATCTGTCTGGGAGGGAAGTGAAATGACAGATATTCTCCTTAACTGTCAAGAATCTTTGACCCCATCTCAACTAAACTTTGTCAGATGTCAACCAAAATATGTCTCATACACAAAACTAGGCCTACTTGTTTTTTGCTTCAATGACCAGGGAAGGTAATGGTTCGTAGCAAGAAGTATGGGAGTTGAGGGAGAAACTTATATTATCCACTTTTAAGGTCATCCAATTGCAGTCTGTGCAGAAGACAAAAATCCAAAATACCTATTTGAAAGAGCTAGGTTAAAAATGTGTCACACCATGACTACAGCACCACTGCACCACTTGGAAACTTCCTCTACAACTTGAATTGATGAAATGAGAGTATAAATCTGCATAAATGAGTCATCCTCCACTTGAATATACTTGCTGTGTTAATAAAATGATATAGGTAAGAAAAAGAGAAAAAGACGATCAACCTTTAAACGGTGCACAATTTCTTTGTACCATAAATAAATTCAATGATGTCTGCACTATGATTTAATACAGATCTCTAACTATCTACTGCAAATCTTGCAGAGTCTTGCGCAAGTGGTCCTGGGGGGGACGAAATATATTTCATTTCACTCAATCTAAAATTAAATATCTAACTGCATTTAATTTAATATGAAATAATGGGTCCTGTCAATATAGTGGCATTGGGAAATATTTAGAAATTGAGAAATTTAGGTCAATTGAAATAAATAAGGGCCCATAAATTGCATACATATTTAGTTCATATTTAAATGAAGTTTGAAACAAAATAAGTATTTTTAGACCAGTTTGTCGTTATGTGCATCCTATTGATCTTGTGTTGAGTGTTTACTATCCTCACTATGCTGTATCGTGCGCTGCAACAACTAATTCCCCCACAGTTGAATGGGAAAAGACGTTCTTATCTTATCACACACGAGGTGTATTGAACAACTGCCTCCAAATGTATCATTTTTTGTCTTTGGCAACTGATTTCCAGTTCTGTACAGGGATACTCATTTACAGATGGAGCTATTTTGTACTGCTTTATTTTATTGTTTTTGGGGTCTTGTGTGGAGCACTTTGTAAGCCCCTTGTTGTTTAAATGTGCTATATAAGTCAAGTGTATTGCATTGGAAGGGTGTAAGTCAATAAACTGAATCATTCTTTTATACAATACAAAGTAGCAAATTCAATAAGTCGTTTTTTCCATGACTACTGCAGCGGGTGACTTCAGTCTGGAGAAAGGGTAGTCACATTATGCTGCTGTGATGGATCAGCTGACGAGGCACGTCACAGTGACATCACATGATCACTCTGGGGAAGAGAGCAGTGCAAACACTCATGCACAAAAACACAAACTGCTCTGGGATCAAATATTTTTTCCTGTGCCAAGGCCTGTATTTTTAACCAAGCCATTTAATAGCAATATATTTGAGAATTTAAGACCCTTAACAGCCCCCTTGACAACGGTTTGCATTGCTTTGTATTCTTTGCATGTTCAGACTGCCACAGGAGAGGAGGCCCCGTGCTCTTTTTAACCTAGCGGTGATCTCAGCGTTATCCAGATGAAAACGGATTTATTCAAACCACCCATCAACTCGCCCTATAAATAGAGCCTGTAGCAAATCTTTACAGAGAGGGGGGGAATAAGCTTTGCTCTTAAGCTGATATTAACATGCTGATATAAAAAAAAAATGTCATTCTGATGTGACAAGCTCGCATTTTCTTTCCATTTGTCATATACTACATCAAAGTGTGAGGGTCATAACCAGCTATTTAACTTCTATGCGTAAAGGTCCAAAGCCTGGATAATATGTCGAAGGCGTATCTGATATAAAAGTAGCGCTAACATCTACTGGAGGGCCCACCACCAGCTTCTTTCCATTGCGATGTTATTGCTTTGCCCGGAATGTTCCACAATATATACACTGTATCGTCATGGAGACAGGCAGGCAACACCAGATTTATGGAAGAGTAAGAATTCAAGGTTGCAATCGAAAGCAAGCATAATCATGATAGTCAATGCTATACGGGAGCATTCGTGACAAAGCTATAAACTCTGCATGGAACAATTTCTGTGCAACTATACGATACACCCAAGCCTGGTTAATTTTCAATTATGAGGCAAAATAATTGGACTATTGCCACAGTGGTGCAAAAACACACGTTGATTTGCAAACATGTCACATTTGAGAGTGCATTGATGCTGGATGCAGGAATTAGTTGTAATAATCATTTGCCCCATAACTGTAGAGCACACGTTTGCTAGAGGCATCTTAGAGCCTGAGGGGGCAAGTGTTCTAAAAAATCTCATCAGAAAATCAGAACAAATAACTTCCATTAACTCTCAAATAACAGGTGTATCCAGGCTAGACCTCACAGCTCCTTGTCAAATAGGCTGCAGTAATAAGCCAACCAAAGATACTTACGTTCATTTGATTACAATGCTGCCACCTGGTTTCTATGATATTATTATTTTTCAGGTAAAAACCACAAGGGAGGAAGTGCAGTAACAGCTTGTGCTATCACCGCTTCTACCCCAAAACTATATAAAGGTTGACTCATTATTATTGGTTCAGTGTGGCGTGATGAACACTCTTCCTTTATGTTTCACGGTATTTCACCCTGTATGAAGTACGCACACATAATTCCTCTGGGCTTTTCCACTCTTTCTTTCTACGCTGTGTCAGGGAGGGTTGCCTTTGTAATTCCAGCTGCCGTAAGAATGTAAGGTCTGCCTTGTGGCACTAATGATCGCAATCATTGCAGCGTTACATTTTATTTATCATAGGCGTTCACAATTAAAAGATCATTGAGCTGTCAGTGAGTGAACTACAGACAGCAATAAGGGCTGCGTATATGAGGAATATGTGTTTTTCATGTGTGACAATTACCGTTGCCGATGCCGTCCCATTGTCGACAGTAAAGCCATTACCTCAGTGTGTTCATTTATGCTCACTCCCAACCGCAGTCAAACACGTTGCATTGCCCTATTGCAACACCAAGAACCGTCTGTGATATTTTAACCTTGGTGTTCCGGAAATGTCATATTAAAGGGATAGTACATATTTTGTCCATTTTCTATAATTCACTTTGGTTATGTAAAATGCAATGTTAATGTTCTGTTACTGTCCTGAGTAACATGTCCAATATAAATCATTGTTTTTTATGGTCTAATACAAATTGATTAAATAAAAATACATGAATGCACACTATCAGACAGGATAAGATTGGTTTTAGGACGTGATTTTACGACTTCTTAATATGGGTTATTCTAATTGATATTATTTTAAGACATATAATTGAACAATACAGTACCTTAGGATTAACAATGAGGTATCCCGTTAATATGTTTTCCATGCAGCATAGGATGACGTTTTTAAAACGTAAAATAAATATTCATAACCACCTTGAGAAATAGTTTGTCCCCAAAACAGTTAAAATGTCTTAAAACGGATAGTTTCTGACAAAAGGTCAATATTTTTCATGATTTTGTGCTCATGTCGTCTTGAGTGCACTCAAACCACCGTATGTCTCTCTATATATGTGTGCTCTTTGTTTCATGGGCCATCACACCTCAAACATGCAATAACAGGGTAGAGAGGGGGTGACTATAGCGTGCACATTTCAACTTAACATTACTTAATTATTTCAACTATCTATTCACAGTTATTGTACTAATCTACAAGAAAGATGAGTAAATACTCACCTTCTTTAGTCGGACGCTTCACTTCCGCACTCAGATTGCACACCTGTCCAGCCTGGAGCTGCGGGGCCAGGCAGCCCTCTGTTTGAGCATTTAAAGGCAAAACCACGTTGTTCAGCATAAGCATACTCTCGGATTCTCCATCGCCTAAATGCTGAGGACAAGTGCATTTTGTATACACGATCCCACACGTCTCCACTGTCCCTTTTTCCAATTTGAGGCAGTTTTCCAGCCATGTACAGAGTACCTGACACCCAAACTGGCTCGGACTGGCCTTATTGAACACAAGAAACTCCACAATAGACTTTTCCTCCTCCTCCAGCTTTTGTAGTGTCAATCCATTGTAATCATAAGGAAATACTCTCCGCAGTTGAACAAAATTCTTGTCGTATAGAAGGAATACATAAATATTCTTTGTATCACATAAGTAGACTATAGACTCGTTGACTTTGAGCAGCTCGTTGATCTTCTCTTGTGAGTAGTGGTCAAACTGATAGGAAAGTAAGGAGTATTCAGAGCAGCCCAGGTCTTGTTTGTATAATTTCAGGTAGATGCTGTATTTGGTTGGGTCTGGGTTCTCCAACGTCCATGTACAGTTTGTATAGTTCTTAGGAAACATCTCAGTCACTGAATATGATCCATAAATGACCCCCTTCACCAGAGTGGAACACCAGTAATCTTGGGCACCAGTTAATCCGAACATAACCAGAAGATAGGTGGAAAATATATAAATCAACAGGTTTCGAACAGCCTTCATCCTATGTCATTTGGCCTGTGAGGAGAGACAGAGATGACAAGATGTGAGGATGATGAAAGAACACTATTCAATATTTCTAACACAACACATCTAAATGCTCTAAATGGAAATGCATTAACCCCAGCAACATGTCTTTTCTATCGCAAGCCTCCATCCTTACTTTGTGCAAACATTGCCACCTTGTGGTCAAGTTTGCGGTAAATTATATATTTATTTGACATTTTAGGTGGTAGGTGCAATTACGTGCGTCATTTAAACTGCGTCGATCATGCTATATTAATTTGATAATGACACACGTAGCTGTGCCATATTAGTGGGGTGAAAACGGCTATGGTATATATGACGCAAGGAACTTTAGCCACCCAGGATGCTCATTTTACGCAGTAAATAAGAGTGTTTGAATCAAGATTCTGTCTGGGAGATTTATCCCGTTTCCTTCGACGACACTTAATGCGAATCGCAGACTGAATAATGCCTTTCTGTGTGAGCATGGTCACTTTGCCTCGGTCTGTCTCAGTGCGCACAATGTGCCATTCGCTCACTATCCACGACCTGCTAGTCTCTGAAATTCGGGGCTTGACATATTTGACAATGCAATTTGATAAAGAGCTCGTGTGTGCGCGTGGATAGTGTGTGGATGACACGCGCTCCCGCACACACCGCGCAGGACTTGGAGTTGGAGAGAAGGGGAGAACGCAACGCGCTGTCCTGATTGCTTTAATCCTACAGGCAATGCAGCTGTGAGCTGTGCCACAGCAGAGCGCGCGTACACGTACGTGTGTGCGGCACAAACTGCGTGTGCGTGTGTGCATGTGTGTGTAGGCGTTCAAGAAGGAGTCAGAGTCCAGACAAAAGGCACATACTTCATTTACGCTTGCATTTTAAACTGCTTTCCCTTTTCCAGTCGTCACAGAGATAACATACGCGTTACATAAGGATTAGGAACCGCTTTAGTCGTGATGAAATCTCATATGATTCCACCCGTCTGCAGGATTCACGGCCAAGGCTACATAAAATCAGTATTCAGCAAAGGCGAGGGCACGGTTTTATCGCTGGGCATCTATAAGCGCAATGAAGGAAACGCATGAGACATCGACTTTGCCTTTCATCCAAAGGCACTACAACGCACGCTGTTCCAAAGTGATTTTAGCCTTTGAGAGACCAGGGTAACTCTCGGTGTATTTGTGACAACAAAACAGTGCAGAATCACGTCTTTTAGCGCAGAATTAGAGGACCAGACGAGGCAGTGTCAGAGAGGAGAGGCGAAACTTTAGTAGACAGATGGCAAATGAAATTAGATTATTTCATAACATCATACTGAAAAAAACATTCTGAAATATCCTTACCTTACACTGCGGAAGCTATGGCTATTTTTCCAATATACTTGACCACATCCTTTTATTAATAAATCGAACAGCCCCCTCGTGAATCAATAGTCTCCATCTCCGACGATAGCAGAAGTCCGCGCGCAACAAGATGCTTCAATGAACGAACATTTGGAAAAGATAGCCTATATGCGTTCCTTACAATCCTCCACTTCGACCGTTCATATCTTCCTCTGGGTTTTTCCCATCAACAGTAACGCGGAGCGCAACAAACACGCGACAGAAGAGAGAGAGTAAAAAGGAAAGCAGGGGAGAGATAGAGAAAGCCAGAGAGAGACAGAAAATTCATGCAGTGGCAAAGAAAGACGCCAAGAAAAAAAAACAAATTCTCACACCATTAAATAAATCTGCAGCCTCCAATGTCTCAATTCCCAAAGAAATGTTTCCCGCTCGGCAACTTGCCCACGCGCACATACACCCCTGTTGTGTATTTTTTGTTAGAGAGGGAGAAAACGAGAAAACGGTACAAAAAAGGCGATCCGTGGTGGGTGGATGTAAAGGATGTTGGGGGGCTACCCGTGAGTTAGAACACAGAGAAAGAAAAGAGAGGGAGGAACAGACGCGCTTTTCGCCTTGCTGCTTGCAGAGCTCCGGGAGCAGGCTGCAATATCACGTCACACTCTCTCCGCCGCTGAGATAAAGCACGTACGTACGCTCCGCGCTGCGTCTGGCACCAGCAGCGCTTTCTTCCCCGGCCGCCCTCCCCTCTTCTCTTTTCCCACATTTCCTTTTTTTCCAGAGTGTCTATTCACTTGTCCAAGGTGTGCCCAAGTGAAGTCAACTGGATCATGTTGGGGCTGCTCAGGCTGCGTAAAACTCTTATCAATGGTCAATATTTTTCCCCATTTCAAACTGGACTTTTTCTACATGGGAATAGTAATGTCAGGCTAGCTGCTCTGATAATAGGACTTTATTTTTGTCTTCACTATTGTTTGCCAATGGAATAAATGCTTAAGGAGGAAACTGCAATCTTTACGGTGGAAAACTCCTTTACCTGCATGCACATACACTCCACCATTGTTCATGGTCCCAAGGGATTATTTATGGCATAATTGCTATCATAAAGGTAAGGCTAATGCATTTAACCCAAGCAGTGCTTATATGAAACGGTGTTATAAGAAAGACTAGCAACTTGGGATTTTTCTTTCTTACTGAAACATGAAAGACGTCCAGGTCTGTAATCAAAAGTCATTTAGCACCAATAATTGTACAGCCATAGCCCAGAGCAGACTGAATATAAGGGTTCTATAGACAGAGTAGGAGAATTAGTATTCCAACAATCTCAAAAACGATTTCTCAATTATGGTTAGGAAGGGGTTTTTAGCTGATTGGCAGAAAGTTTTCATCAGGTGGGGAGAGATTTATAATTATAGGCCCACTCTACACATATGCATCAGGAAAAGTTAATGAATGAAAAATTAGCGTACGTGACCTTCACACACGTTGAGTTCAGCCAATTTGCATATTAAGATGAATTTGCATGTCGTAAAAGAGATTGAGACTGTGCCCTTTTCAAGACCACGGGTATGGACTCACAGACACACTTTATTATATTTTTCTTGTTTTCGGGAGGATGGGTCAGCAGCTCTAATCATTTTGCAGTGCATAGTTAACTCCCATTAGCCTGGCCCTCTCTTTCAGGCTGCGTCTGAAAGTCTTCCATGTGAGCAGATGCTGCAGCAAGAGCCCATTTGTTTATTTATTTTCGAAGAAGTTTTGGTGTGAAGTGGCGAGAACAAGATCCTTCCAAAGACACTGCCAAAATCCAGCTCTGAATCTAAGATGTGCCGAAATGGTATTTATATGCAGTGTTTACAACGTCTGAATATGCTGCCAGACTTCAAAACGAAATTGAGATCTCCAGCGCTAGAGAGTTGCCATGAATTATGATTGGGTAGATTTCCAACTGTGTCTTCATCAGGGGTGACCAAAGCTCATGCCAGTCCAATTTCCAAAATGATGTGTATAGGGAGCTTATAAATGACCTTTCTTTGCTTGTGATGAGATTTTGAATTGGGGTATAAAAACATCAGTTTTGTAAAAAGCTGTTCCAAACAAATGTGTTTAAGGGGGAGATCATTTGCCTCAAGGATCTGTGGGAGGAAGGAAAGTGATAGCAATCCAAAACTGGAACCAACAATAATCTGCTTTTTACTACATTTATTAAAAACTTGAGAATGTGTGTCCCTCATGATATACATGTAAACATGCTACTAAAATGAATGAGTAGAATAATATAAAATCTGGGGTTAACTTTCCACAAAACCATACAAAATTATACTATGCTATAAAATCAAATAGATCTTTCAAACCTAATCAAAATTGCACTGAAGGCTGCGGTCACATGCACAGCCTAAACTCCGGTTAAAGTGTGTTTGGGCCCACTTCACGATTAGATCTGGGCTTAGGTGCTATGTGACCGCGGCAACTGGGCTTGGGCACGGTTCCAAAGCCCAGATGAGGGGGGTCACTGTGGTGGGTGGTGGGGAGTGGGGGATGAGGTGTGGTGGGGACTGGATATTGTGCGTCACATTACGTCTTCCGTTCTGCATTTTCACACACGTCTCTCCCTGCACCTTTGTATTCTCCACTTGTGTTAAACCTTTCATAAAAGCCCCCGGACCGTGGTCAAGGGCCGCTGGGGAATGTGTCGCTCCAGGGCCAAAGGGAAGCGTTTTCTACGAGGAATAAATACCTTCTGTCCTGACCCTCGCTCTCACAGTTTGGTGCTTTTGCAAAAACACTTCAGACTTATTCAGCAGAACACACCAACATTCACTTGTATCCTGCCTGGCTCCGGTCGCTCTGCTCGTACGCCACACTTTTCATTCTTTCATTCTCATTCATTCATTTCTCAGCACTTACGCTCTTTAATCCAAAGTGCACTCCCGTGTCCCGCTGAGCTGCTACACTTTGGGTAAAGACACGTCTCACAGTTGTACACATTGCTCTGATACAAACAACGCGATCCGTGCTTGAGCTGTT